AGGAAGGCAGGCAGGGCTAGGAAAGATGGAAGCACACAGGGTAGAAGAAGGATGAGGGATGCTACATTGTGGGGACTGCAATCAAGGACATGAAACACAATATGTATAAATTGGTGGGTGGAAAACTAATTGGCTCAGTTAACCTTCACCCAGGTCACCATAAAAGGTTTAATAAAATCAAGGTGTTGGCAGGCTGGCTTATTCCAGAGGCTCCTGGAAGAGAATGTGGTCCTTTCTTTTCCAACTGCCAGAGGTTGATGGGATTCCGGAGCTGCTGGCTGCATCACCCTGACCTCTTGCTTTGTTGTCACACCTCTACTTCCTCTGCCCGACTGCTCCCGCTTCCCTCTTAGAAAGACGGTTGTGTTATCTAATCCAAAGACTCCCTGCAACTCAAGGTCCTTAAGTACATCTACAAAACCTGACATAGAAGTTGACAATCACCAGTTCCAGGGACTAGAATGTGTCCATGGACGTACTTAGAGGCCATTATTCAGGCTACCCCATACTCCAAGGGCCTCCACACTTTCTGTCCAGCGGCTCCACCTCTATGAAAGTGACCAAAGACACCGGAGTGAAATAGACCTCGACTCCAAACCACGTGACCACCCTACCTGCGCACTAACAAGAACCAGGAGACACGAGGAAAGCCAACTCAGACATCGCGTATTTTACAAGTTATATCCTGAAATGTCTCACAACCCCTCCCCCAGCACAGAGATTACCACCGTTACAAGACAATTCATTCAACATGCTCTCAGAACCTTGTCACCCACATGCCTCCTGCCTTTCATAAATGGTCACCTCAAGGGACATGTCCCAATAGAAGCTGATGGCGCTGAGGAACTTGATCTCAAAGATCAAGTCATCTTCTAGAGGAGGCTGTTCCCTTCAGAAGGAGCCCTGGTGGCGTAGTGGTTATGCATCGGGCTGCTAACTGCAAGGTCAGCAGTTAGGCACTCTGCAGGAAAAAGACAAGGCTTTCTACTATAGAGTTACAGGCCGGGAAACCCACAGGGGCAGTTCTACCCTGTCCTATAGGGTCACTAAGAGTCAGAATCAACTTGATGGCAATGAAGGTTTTTTATTCTATTCAGACACTGGGAGTTGGGTGGGCAGGACTTTATCGGAGCATCTAAGCAATACAGTGTCTCCAAAGAGGAATCCATAGTTGGAGGACCCTCTGGATTTGCATGGGACCCCCAAATCATTGCTCAAAGAGATACTAGTGAACCACATGACCAGCATGAAAACAATTCCTAGAGGAACTTGCCAAGGAGCTCGGAGGCCTTCCTATGGCTATGAAGTGAGTAGACAGATGAGGGTGTTCATACTTTTCCTGCGCAGCGGGGCGGGGGGAGCAACTGGGAAGTTGAAGGGCCCATGACCCACACTCCATCCTCAGGGTGTCAAGAAAGAGGGTGAAAAGCTCTGAAACATTCTAGTGTGGAAGAGAGAAGGGGAACCACCTTCTCGGGGAAAATTGGGAAAAAAGGGCTCTCAACAACAGGAACCTTCCAGGGCCTGTGAGGCAAGAAGTAGAGCTCTTACCTACTCTCCAGCTCTCCGGGAGAGGGGAAAATGATTTCCTCCAGCAATGGTCAAAATGAACTAGAAAAACATGAGACGGTCCACCTCCTGCCTTTCTTGTGGCCAATACACATGAGCTTTTAGGATGGAGTTGGCTGAATAAAGAAAACATGTGATTACATGCCATGAAGTGGGTTCTGACTCACAGCTACTGATGTACAACAGGACAAAACACTGCCCAGTCCTGCACCATCCTCGCCAGGGGTCCTCAAACTACGGCCAGTGGGCCACAGGTGGCCTGCCAAGGACATTTATCTGGCCCGCCGGGTGTTTTTGCCCGGTTTGTTTTTTTACTTCAAAGTAAGATATGTGCAGTGTGCATAGGAATTTGTTCATAGTTTTTTTGTGTTTTTTTTAACTACAGTCTGGCCCTCCAACGGGTCTGAGGGACAGAGAACTGGCCCCCTGTTTAAAAAGTTTGAGGACCCCTGATCCTCGCAAATGTTTGTATGTTTGAGCCTATTGTTACAGCCACTATGCCAATCCATCTCAGTGAGGTCCTTTTGTCCCCGCTGCCCAGTTACTTTACCAAGCACGGTATTCTTCCCCGAACCAGTGTCTCCTCACATGTCCAAAGGACATGAGACAAAGTCTCGCCATGCCTGCCTCGAGGGACTATTCTGGCTACTCTTCTTCTAAGATGGATTTGTGTGTGTACGTATTAAGGTTAAATTCGTTGGAACATGCCAGCTTCACAGGTCTACGGGCTCTATCGGGCACCCGGAGACAGCACTGACAAGCACCTCACCCTGCAGCCCCATGCTCACCAAGCCACAATCACTTCAGATCGCTTCGAGATCGCTCAGAATCACACCCGGCCTAAACCGAGGAGGATCACTGAGGGTCCACTCCACAGGCAGGACTGACTGGCTTCAACAAGCGCTTCCCTAGAACATTCTCTTAGAATCCATCTTGGGGCTGCTCTGTCTCAACTCCCTCAGTGGTCCACAGCGGCAAGAAACCACCCCCCACCCCACTCCCCAGAAGATGAGGCCACACCCCTTACACCCACCCACTGAAGCTACTCTCCTCAGCTGCCGCCTCTTGAACGCCCCCTACAGCTCCACCACAGAAAGTCCAGGCATGGTGCTTGCTGCTAAGAACCGGCTAAGTAGAGTGCACTATAAGGCAGATACTGCCTTTCTTACTGGATTAACTCGTCCTCCTATCATTTGCTCCTGCTTACTGATGGGGACACTGAGTCACAGTGATGTCACACAGTAATAGAATGGCGATGCTGGGTCTCAAACAGTGGGCGGTATGGATGAGGGAGAGCGCTGGGCTGACTCTCCTTTTATGACTTTCTCTGCACATTGCAGCAATACATGGGAAGATCACTCCCAGAGACACACAGATATGGAAAAATCCGCAACAGGTCAGTGAATGAGTCAAGCTGGACAAACATGACTCTTGGCCAAAGGTCAACAAGCTGTCTCAAAGTGCATTTAAGTTTTATAGGGTGACAAGAGACAGAATGAAATACGGTGCCTTGAAGCTTCAGCTCTTTTGACCAGGGACAAACTTCTGAATCTGTTTCAGATCTGCATGTCTCCACGCTTACCTAACACCTCACTGGCCAGAGAAACCCTACACATTACCCCGAAGACACTTAACTGTTCTTCTAACAAGAGATCTCCATTAAGATGTGATTAGCAGGCAATGCCAATAAAACGGGATAATGGGGCACAGAGTGTACCTCTCTAGCCAGTCTGTGTGAGTCAGAGGAACCGTGGCACAGTGGAGCTAAAAGAGGCCTTCGAAGCATTAAGTCCATGAGAGTAAAATGAGAGGCAGAGAAGTCTGATTAATTCATCCCAGGATGGGTATCTTATTCATGCATACATGCTAATTAACAAATACTTAAGCACAGATTAAGTGCCAGGACCTTTGCTAGACCCTGAGGATATGCAGGCCACCGATTCTTGTGCCTGGGACGTTACACACACACAGGGAGGGGCTGTTTTGTTCTAATTCTTCCAAAGGTATGAGCTAGCAATAGCGCTCAGGACCTAATACAGAATAAGATGTGCTCTGAACATTCAGAGCTGTGCCTGCAAACTTCTTGGCTAATTCCAAGCTGCAAACATTTTTGTCTGGATTTCAGGACTTTAAAAATTGGGAGATTTCATAGGAAACCTAGATGTTCCAATTCTCTTGGGGGGGGGTGTTATCTGGCAACGCTGGGCTGTATTTCCACTTAGTAATGGGCTGTTGGAGTTGAGCAGGGCCAAAACCAGCTGCCCTGGAGTGGATCCCAACCCCACGTGTGTGTACCAGAGGAGAACTGTGCTCCACAGCGTGTTCAGTGGCTGCCTTTCCAGATGTAGATTGCCAGGCCTTTCTTCTGGGGCACATCTAGATGTACTTGAACTTCCAGTTAGCAGCTGAGTATGCTAACTTTTCACAGCCTGGGAGTAGTTGCTTCAGACTACTGGTGCCAGCAAGCCAGGATCGACTTCTATGTTTCCATATGACAGAGAACTTCCTCATGGGCTTTTCTACACTGTAATCTGCACAGGAGCAGAGCGCCAGGGCTTTCTCCTGCCTAGCTCCTAGGTGGGTTCAAACTGCCAACTTGCTACCCACTTAGCTGCCGAGCACTTAGCCATTCCACCACCAAGGTTCCTTCCTCCAGGGACGCACGGTCCCCTCTCTAAATAAACATGCTCTTGAGTTTGCCTCTGTCTCCCTCACCCCCTATTGTCTCCTAGAGCACTGCCCTCCGTCCTCCTTAGAGTCTGTCTACACACATAAGGATGCAACACATAAGCTGCCTCCCAGTTGGATGGCAAAGATAGGAGGCCAAACATGTTCTTAAAAGAGTGTAAAACAGTGCAGTGTGTATTGAGAGATGAAAACTCAGCTTACTTATTTAGTAGAGGACCTGGGGCCAGAACCTGGTCTCTACCCATCCATGGGGCCATGGTGTCCAGCTTACATTGGACACAAATAGACATCCTAATTCAAAGAGCCAGGGGCCATCACAACCCAAGGTCATATCAGATGCACAGTGCCCACCATGGTAGCCCTCTTTCAGACTCAGAGAGGATCCAGGGATTTGGATCATCCTTCCAGCTAAACCAACCAGAAAGACCATTTGCTAAGAGTTAATCAAGAAAAGATTTTCTTCTGCGTAGGATTACAACCCATTATACCAGCTCTTAGGTGGTGTAGGATAAACCCCAAACCAAATCAAACTCACTGCCATCAAGTTAAAACTGTCGGAGCAGAACCTCTCCTGTGGGTTTCCAAGACTGTAATTCTCTACAGGAATAGAGAGCCTCATCCTTCTCCTTCAGAGCAGCTGGTAGTTTCGATCTGCTGACCTTGAGGTTAGCAGTTCAACTTATAACCGCTACACCACCGGAGCAAAGAGGGATACCTATTTTTCCTCTTCCTTTCCCCATTACCTGCAGAAGGATAGAGCAAATAAAAGCCATCCACGTCAGCAGCCAGCGGGGACTCTTCCAAGAATCCATGAGACCCAGGCTCCTGAGAGCCCCACCTGCAGCCTGCAAAAGAAGAGAAAGGTGGTTTCCAACCAGTTCTGGCTCTAGTGGCAACACCATGATTTAGTTGACACACCAGCTAGCAGGGGGTACCCTGAATTCCATACAACAACTTACAGAGGTTTGTGTTGATCCTGGAAAGAGCTGCCTACTGCAAGGTACAGGCTGTCTGAGGCTCCCTTTCGGGATGCGTCCACACCAAGTTATAGAGGACAGTCAGCTGGGCTGGCGTCCAGTCAGCAAGCCACGCTGCTGGTCCTACAGAGCTATTCTCCATCTGCATCCCTACTGCAGCCATCGCCCCGCCCATTTGTCAAGAGCAGGGTGTGGCTGTTGGCATCTGACTTGGGAAGCCAGCTTGGAGCCATGGGTTAGGGGACCTGCCAGCTTCTGCTACTTCAAGCCAAAAGAAAAAAGGAAAAAGAAGAAAAAAAAGTATTATCAACTAATCCTGCGGTAAGAGACCTGCCTCAGGCCACACAGCAAGAAAGTGACCAGCCCAGGACTGGTTCCCAGGTTTGGTCTTTTTCCCATCGAAGGACTCCGAGTATCCTTCCGGTCCCAGATGGCAGAGCCCAGGTTTGGGGAGCAGTGCCCCAGGGCCGGCCTATCCCAATCCCCTGAAAGTAAGGGGCCAGGCAGGAATCCTGAGAGGCCAGCTGAGGCGGGGAGGGCGGTAGGGAGATTCCTCATCGTTTTACTGAGACTTTTACGGGGAATTTAGCACGAGTCGAGATTGGAAAAGCCGAGGTCACACTCGACTCTCACTTGGCCTCGCGGGCGCCTTGGCGGAGCCGGTGTCCGGGGGCGGGTCGGTGGCTTCTCTCCATCTGGAGAAAGCATTAAGGGCCTGGCCTAATGCGATCCACAAATGTGCTGCTGCTTCTGACCTGAGGCGGCGATTCTGGGCTGAAGCGAGTGCTGGGCCCAGGGACGGTGCGCCCCCTTGGCTCTCTGGCACCAGCCCTCCTTCGAGCGCGCGCCTCCGACAGCCCGCCGCTGCGCAGGGCGTCCACACCGCGTGCGGAACCCGAAACCCGTTCCCGTCCCCCCACGCCCACTTTCCCCGCCGGACGCGGCGCCCCAGCCCAGTCCTCGGCGCTCTGGGCGCTCACGACCCAATTGCCAACCAGCTAGAAGATTCGACGTCTGCAGCTACTTGTCGCCCGCCATCAACTCGCTTTCTACCTGGAAACTCCCGGTCCTGAGAGTCCCCTCCCTGAGGAGCGTCCCTGTGGTTAACTGGAGAGCCCCCAGCTCCCACCCCGACCCCCAGGGACGCCTTTTTCCACGAAGCTCCCAGAGCTCCGGGGAGCGCACCCACCTCCACGCCTTGCGAAGCGCCCCAGTCCGGTAGCCGCACCCCAAGTCTGATGAGCACCCCTATTCCAAGCTCCCCCTAACTTTGCTTAGAGGCCACTGTTCCCAGGCGTGTTCCCTGGAAAGGACCTTCCCTTGACCCCCGCGGGGCGCTCCCGCGCGGACCTCCGGGCACCCACCTTGCGCAGCAGGAGTGGCAGGGACCTGCAGCCGGGAGCCGCGCGGGCTCGGCGCGCGCAGAGGAGACGCGCAGAGTGGCCC